GTTTAATCAGTACTTCCACTTTTACCAGAGTATTTTTTAACACAAGTATCTGTACTTTTACTCAAGTACGGAAAGTGAGTACTTTTGCCATCTCTGCCAATTATTTTAACTGATTGCAGCTACTCATCACACCAAAAGAGCCAAAACTAAAGAAACTGAGCTGTTTTCCACACTTCCTGCTACATTTTTCCCCTCTTCATCATGTCCTCGCCGCAGCTCTCAGCCTCACAAAATCTTATGAACCCGCTGTGGTTTGACCGGTGCTTCTGCTACTATGTCTGGGGCCTCGTGGCTCTAAGCCTCACTTATTGAATTCTTTGTTGACTTTACGAAGACCAGACTAAGACAGAACCAACAGGTGTTAGTCTGAAGCGGGTCTGAGCAGTGGGATGTTCCCTTTGACCCCAGAGGGAGAGGGGACAGCTGCAATGTCTGGGTGTGAGACACAGTGAAAGGAATGATCACCCTGGTGTTGTTCACAGGGTTACAGTTCCTTGTAAAAGTGTGAGCATATTTTACTGGGAAGCTAACTAATAAGGACCAAAGTAATGTATAATCATACTGTAAGATGAAGAAAGTCTAGTCTTGTAAGTTATTTATCAATTTCTCTTATTTGTGAAGACCTCAGAGATTTTTGAAGGAACATTAGCATCACCAAGACCAAGGAGCGCCAAAAGCGAGGGATTGTGAAATAGTTGAAAACAGGATTAGGATAGAAAACAATTATCCTAGCTTTTAATAACAGAGCACTTTTCAACCAAAAGTAGGAAGAGAATAGGAAAATTGTTGCTCTACCAGACAGGGTAGTCTACTTAAATAATAGGTCCAAAAAGGAGAGTAGTAATCAGAGAGGAAGCCCAAAATATGCCTTTTATAAAAATAAAAAAAACCCAAAGCTGCATCACCCATACTCTATGTAGTTTACGCGGTAAATATAGAGGATTTTTTTTTTTAAGTAGAGACAGTAATAAATATTCAAACACCATGAAACATGATAATGGCAGCATGATGCTGTGGGGATGTTTCAATTAGTAGGAAAATGAGGGTTAATCAGCGTTAAAGGGAAGATAGCTCTAAATAAAGAGTTTATCCTGAAAGAAAAAAAAAAGGTTAGAGGCCTTTTGAAACTATTCTAAACAGCTGTTATGTTTTTGTTAGTTTTAGCGGTTGGTTTTTAACCATTAATGTTTGTGTTCATGTGAAGCTCTTTGTGCTGCTAGACCTATTGGAAATGTGCTATAAAGTACTTAGCTATAATAAGATTTTCCTTGACCTTAACTAAGCTTAAGCACTCTTGCAAAGAAGAAAGTTAAAAATGTCTATTTAAAGTTTGTCACATTTAAAGAAATCTTATTTTCATTGAATTACAGCAATAACCACAAAAATATATAAAGTATAGAGAGGGATGAACACAGATGTTTGGCATATTTTCTCAGATTTTATTTTTAGGAAATAAAAATGAAAGTCATTTTTTCATTTCCCCTTCCACTTCAGCATTATGCACCTCTTGGTGACAGTTTTTCAGATTTAATCCTAATGAATTGAAACAACGTTGGCTATTTGACAAAATGAAAATAAAGGAGTTTTATTTATTTTGTAAGGCCCTGTACTCCACACTGCAAAAAAAAAACA